GGTCGGGGCAGGGCAGGGTCTGACAACAATGCAAACTTTGATAAGCAGTTCTTGATAATCACTTCTCAGCAATTATTTGTTATTATTACAGTTTAACATTATAAAATTAACAAAAATAATATAAAACTCATACTCTGGCGAAATAACCACATGGCAGCCGAAAACCGTATATTCCCTTCTTGTTCTCCCACCCCGTTCGTGCATTCTTTCCAAAAATCGGGACTTTTTTAAAATGCCGCGGGACGTGGGACAAATTGTTGAAAAGTGGGACGTCTGGTCACCCTATTAACATCCTGAGTCATCAGGTAAATGAAAAGCGAAACATCACAATGAGATACTGTTTTACAAAAAAGCGAATGTTGGTGAGAATGTGGAGAAATCATAAACTTTATACATTGCTGGTGAGAATTTAAAATGGTGCAGTCACCGTGGAAAACAATTTGACAGTTCCTTAAATGCTGAACATTAGAGTTACCAAGCGACCCACTCATTCTACCATTAGGTATATATGTCCAAGAGAAATGAAAGGATACGTTCAGGAAAAAACTTGTAGCAGCATTATTCATGACGGCCCCCAAAGTAGAAAAACACTAATTATCCTTCAAAGACAATTAGCTAAAATATGTACAATGGAAGATTTTTGAGCCACAAAAAGTAAGGAATTGCTGAAACATGTTACAATAGGGAGGAAGTTTGAAAACATTGTTAAGTAAAAGAAGTCATTCAAAGAAGGCCATATATGACATAATTCCATTTAAATGAAATGTGCTGAAGAGGTAAATCTATAGAGACTGATTGGTGGTTGGATGGCGGGCGTTGAGGGGAGCAGGGAGAAGGGGAAGAGTGACTGTTATATGTTTTTTGGGGGTGATGAAAATGTTCTACATCGATTGTGGTTATGGTTGCAAAACTTCATGTACATAGTAAAAACCATTGGCCTGTATATTTATTTATTTATTTTAGAGACAAAGTCTCACTTTGTCGCCCTCAGCAGAGTGCCCTGGCATCACAGCTCACAGAAACCTCCAGCTCTTGGGCTTAGGTGATTCTCTTGTCTCAGCCTCCGGAGTAGCTGGGACTACAGGCGCCCGCCACGACGCCTTGCTAGACTTGTACAATTTAAATTGGTGAATTAAGGCCAGGAGGTCAAGACCAGCCATATAAATTATATGGCATATAAATTATATCTCAATAAAACTTGTAGGTACATATATGTAAAATATCAGGTGGTGATAAGCGCTATGAAGAAATATAAAGCAGGGCAGGAAGAAGAGCTGAGGCTGAAGTTTGGAAATTTAAATAGGGAGGTTATGTTAGGGCTTACTGAGAAGTCACTGCATGAACAAAGACTTTCTGAAGGAGGTCAGGGAGTGAGTTAGGTGGCTATTTAGGGGAAAAGCTTTGCAGGCTCCCTGGGTTTGGATCCTGATTTTGTTCTTGCCCATATGCATGACTTTGGAAAAGTTATTTAGTGGTCCTATGCCTCAGTTTGTCTGTAATGGTAAAAACGTAGTACCTATTTCAAAAGGTTATTATATGAATTAAATGAACTTTTAAAAAGTAAGTAAAGCACTTAGAAGAGTACACTGGCACTAAACAAAATGCTGTATAGTTATGTTTATTAGTTTCTACTGCAAGCACATGGCCTTGCATGCTAGCGTGGACGCATGCCTGCGATGTTGGATCAAGCACGGATGCCAGGTGATCCTGGAGCAGCAGAAGAAACAGGACTAGGAGCTGGAGGGAGGTGTTGTGGCTTTTACTCTGTGAGGTGGGAAGTAAATGGAGGGTTTTTTGTTTGTTTAGAGACAGGGTCTCACTCCGTCACCCAGACTTAAGTGCACTGGCACAGTTATAGCATGCTGCAGCCTTGAACTGCTGGACTCAGCTCGAGCAATCTTCCCACCTCAGCCTCCAGAGTACTGGGACTATAAACATGAGCCATCAAGCTCAGCTAATTTTTATTTATTTATTTATTTATTTATATAGGGATGGAAGTCTTGCTATATTGGGAAGTTGGGTATTGACCTCCTGGCCTCAAGCAATCCTTCTACCTCAGCCTCCCCTACACTAATCAGCAGAGGGTTTTGAGACATCTGATTTATGTTTTAACACCACCGCTCAAGCTCCTGTGTTGATGGGACACAATGTACTATTGCCATTGTTGTTCTTAATATTAGGGGTATCGCAAGTGCCAGAAAATGGGCCTTGCAATCTGTAAGAGGTTTCTTCCCACCAGTTACCGCCAGGCGTCCCCGCCTCGGTGCGGGCCAGATTTCTAGCGCAGCGGCATGGCAGCATTGCGCAGGCGCGACCTCAGCCGGGCGTCCTAAGAGATGGACTCTAAGAGCCTCCGCGCAGGCGTGATTCTAGAGGCCAAGAGAGGTAGGGGTTGGGGCGGGGCAAGCTCGGAGTGAGCCTGCGCAGTACGCGCTCACGCTCGAGAAGCCGCAGTGTCGAGAGCGCCAAGGTGTTTCAGTCTCTGGCTAAGCTGGTGCCGCGAACCGGGTGTCGGTGGGCTGCACCCCGGGCGGGAACGTCCGCCGGGCACAGAAGGGGGCCACGATGCCGGTGAGGAGAATCGTTCAGCCGTTGGGGTTTCTTCTCATCCCAGCGGTCTGGCCTGGGGGCGCGGCCGTTGCCATGGAGGCGCGGAGCAGGAGGGAGGCCGGGGTGGGGCGGGGCAGGGCCCAGCCCTTTGGGCCTTGGCGGTTAGGGAGCTCCGGAGGGTCAGCCCCGGGTCCACGGCGGTCCAGCTGGCCTTGGGAGGGGCTCGGGGGAGGCCCTGCTGCCTCCGTTGCTGCTGCATCCAGTGGGGCCTGCACTACTTGACATAAAGGCACTGTGCCGGAGGATGCGCTCTGGCTCCCAGCTCTGTCTTCTGTGTAGGGCCTCTGGGAGCGGCCGCGGAAGGTTTGGATGCCCCGCACCTCCTGCACCCTGGAGCCAAGCTCCAGAAGGCAGCAGAGCCAAGGCCGCGGCCCGGGTTCTAGGCCCCTGACTCAGACTCTCCTAAATTCGAGCTGTCATTCCTCTTGTGGCACTTTAGCTTACAGTGCGGAGGGTAACCTGTAGG